CTAATCGTATTAAGGAAAATGATTTCCACAGGGAAAACCAATGTTTTCGCAGCAGAATAAATCCACTGACAATAGCGTTATAATTTAACCATTTAAGCTCGAAAAACAATGACAAATTTCTGATGCAAAATACGGAAGTTCCGGAAAAAGGTAAAAATAAGGTAACGGTCGTTACAATTGTTATATTAGGAGTAGAAGCTGAAAGCCAGATACAAACCAGAGCGGTGGCGAAGGCGAGCGCGGTGGCGGGCGCGGTGGCGGGCGCGGTGGCGGGCGCGGTGGCGGGCGCGGTGGCGGGCGTGGTGGCGGGCGCGGTGGCGGGCGCGGTGGCGGGCGCGGTGGCGGGCGCGGTGGCGGGCGCGGTGGCGGGCGCGGTGGCGGGCGCGGTGGCGGGCGCGGTGGCGGGCGCGGTGGCGGGCGCGGTGGCGGGCGCGGTGGCGGGCGCGGTGGCGGTGGCGAACGAATACTGCACATGTAAATAAATCAACGCGTGCATACTGCGGCGAACTGGAAAACGCGCCCGCCGTTTTTGCTGCGTTCTACCGCTACTGGCCTGCATCATTTTTCCGCTTAGTTCGCGCGATCTGCATCAGTACAGCGAACTGCAAACATGTCGTGTGATACTGAAAAACCCAACGAAAATGTTCGAGAAAAAAAAAGTCCATGTCTTGGGCACTCATGGCGATCTATTACAGTCAAAATTAAAGATAAAAATGACAGTCAAGTAGCAAACAGAGAAAAATAAAAATGAAAAAAGAACAGAGAGCTGTTCATCAAAATATGCCAGTAGAGGAAACCCTGCAACCAATGTTGATCCAGAAGCGGAAATAAAAATACTGAAAGTACTTATATTTGTCGCGGTAAAAACGCGTAGGTTTGCGGATATTAGTTGGCTTCGTCACCGCCACCGCTACCGCCACCGCGCCCGCCACCGCCACCGCTCTGGTTTGCGCCTGGCTTTACTTTTTTGTGCTGAAGCAGTAGGTTTGCGAGCCGAACGTAGTGAGGCATGCAATACTGCTGAAGCACAAAATAGTATATTGTTGTATTAGGAGTAGTGAGGCTTGCAATACTGCTGAAGCACAAAAAAGTGCTTCTACTCCGTATGCAACACGCTATTTTTTCTCCAAACGAATGGGGTAAGCTCGGGGGCAAGTGAATGGTTGAGCGGCAGCAAAAGTACGAGCGGCACTAAAAGTACTTCTACTGCCGCTCCAGCGGCACTAAAAGTACTTTTGCTGCCGCTGGGGTTGCCAAGCAGCATAGAAATTAAGTTTCTACCACCTCGACAGGTGTTAATTGACAGGGGTTAACAAAGTGACGTTTTTCTGACGTTTGGAGAAAAAAGTGCTTCTACTCCGTATGCAACACGCTATTTTTTCTCCAAACGGCAGTAAAAGTACGAGCGGCACTAAAAGTACTTCTACTGCCGCTGCGGTTGCCTAGCAGCATAGAAATTGAATTTCTACCATCTCGACAGGTGTTTACCCGCTGTATTCGCCCAGCAGCATAGAAATCAAATTTCTGACATCTTGACAGGGGTTAACAAACTGACGTTTTTTTGACGCTTGGAGATTTTTTTTATGGCCCTAGGAACATAATGGATTACTTCTGTGTTGAGTGTTGATGACAATAAAGTTTAAATTATGTCCTACCGCTTTAAAATAAATATAATTATTGGAAATATTGAAATTTACCGCAACAGAGTTGATTAAAAATGTACCAAATGCAAGTAATAAACACTAAAACGCATATTATCCTTCCAATATATTCGAACCTGTTGGTCTTGAAATCACATTACACCATATTTAACTTTTGAAACGATAATGCAAAGAAAAACCATGACTTTTCTGCGAGAAATCCCTGCCCCCGACTACAGACCATGGATAATTTATGGCCTAAGGCTGGACGGTATATTTTTCGAAAATCCATAACCTGTGGTAAAAAACATCCTAGAGGATGTTGTTCCTGCCAGAGGCGCCGACTTTTGAAACTTCTCATGGGTGCAGAATAATAACTTTATGAATTTATTTATAGGGGGAGGCGGAAGCTCGCCGCAGGCGCCGCCGGTAGCGAATTTTTTTTTTTCACGAGTATGCGAAAAGTGTTTTATTCTGCACGCATTTTAGGCCATGAAAATATAACTTTTCCGCACTAGAGCGGAAAAGTAAAATAAGTATGCAATATTAAGTCACCCGCCTGGTAGGGGAAGGCGGGGCAGAACAGGGTACTTAACGTTTGATGCTCAATTGTCACTACAAAATTAGCAAGATAAGTATTTTTTTTTTGCTATAGGTGTATTACTCAACATTAGTATGTAAATTAAGCTTTTTCACCATTTTTTACAGTTAAATAAATATTTTTGATACAATAATTTTGAGAAACCAAAAAAGTGTATTTTGCCCCATTTCGCCCCGCTAGCGGAGCAGAACGGGGTTTTTATATTTTTCACCAAAAAAACGGCTGGGTTCGGTAATTGCATCTGCGAGCAAATAGAGCAAATCTTCACAGACGTCACGCGATCACTTATCTTTTTTCACGTGTTAAATCACGTGACATCTGTCAAATTTTGGTCATTTTGCTCGCAGATGCAATTACCCAACCCAGCCAACAGCCGCAACTGCTGCGTTCATGGAGTCGATACTCTATTCCTGACGCTTTGTCTTCCGAACATAACTTCTAACTAACAATCTGAAAAAATACTAAATCGACAATAAACGGGACAGAACGCTGTAACCCATTGTACCCCACCCCATTTCGCCCCATATGCAATATTTACTTTTAAAGTAAAATTCTTGGAAAAAAACAAAAACTAGAGTAAAGCTAAGTGATAAAAATGTTACTTAATAAAAGCTCTTTGCATAACATAATTGAATAAGATTGAAATTAAAAATGCAAATTACTTACGGTGGTTAATATGGACGCTAATGTTACAAATTTACACGAAGATTCAAGTTGTTTAGGAGACTTAAGCCTTGCTTGACGTTTTTCGGACAACTGACGTATCTACATGTATTTGATGCGTCTTGGTGAGATTCAGTGCAAGTTTGGATGTTTCCGGACTCCGGACGCACGTTCGCTTTTTAATCACGGTATTCCGTTCTACCCTGCTACCCCGTTCTGCCCCGCCTTCCCCTACTTTCATGTTCTAAAATGCGTGCGGAAAAGTACGGTCGTAAAAAAATAACGTTCCTCATTCATGCGGAAAGTATCCCTACCCACGCGAAAAAATTAAATTATATGGCATACAGCGTAAGCGTCAAACCTCCTGTTGGCGGGACTATCCCGATTGTTATCAGAAAATAGAGATGGACAATAGCAACATAAAGTAAAAGAGCATAGAACTGATCACAAATAACGAAAGGACATAATACTAATACCACTTGTATAATTCTTATACAAAGTTGTAAATTTAAATTACATGATACTGATATTACCACACTGAAGGAAATGACCATTGAACACGTTTGTACTTCGCATTCCCCACTAGAGCTCGCATGGGTGCTCCGCACCCATGAGAAGTTTCTCATGGGTGCACCTTCCGCGATGCCCCCATGTAGTCCTCGCCAGTGGTACCTGTATCAAGAACCTATATACAGGGTGGGGACTTTAACTGAAACTAATTCGCTAGAGCCTTCGGATAAAATATGTGGACAAAACGCAAAAATACGTCAATTGAGATTTTCTGCCTTAGATTTTTTCACATAACTTTTTTTATACAGGGTGTTCCAAGAACAGGTGAACAGGTTTTCAACGTTATTTTTTTAAATAAAGTGCATTTTTTTTAAAGATGGAAGGCATGTTTTCAAAGATGCTATTCATGTAATAATGAACTAATGAACTACAACTACAGTGCTTAGTGAGTGTTTGCCATCTCAGTATTTAAAGTCTAGTATTATTAAAGATAATTCCCCAAGTCAAAAATTTAGTAACTTTGTTGGCAACACAAGCCTTTTCTAAATAAAGAATTTGAAAGCATTGACAATTTTACATTGTATTGCCAACATAATGTCATTTTGACTTTTATCTTTAAAAAAAAAAACGCACTTTAGTAACTACTGTATATTATCAAATTTTTGGATTCTGCCAAAAATTCTAGATTTATTTTATGTACAATGTCCTATACTTATCTTCAACTGTTTCGGAAATATTGACAGTTGAAAATTGACTCTTTTGCATTTTTGACTGATTGTAAAACCTAAACAGTTGATTTTATAGCAAAATCGATCATACATATTGATCTTAGTTTTCCGTAAACTATCATTTGACACCAACTTTGAAATTAATCCATGATTGAAAATTCCGTCAGCCGGGCAAAGTTGCAAAAAAGTTATTTTTCAACTGTGAATATTTCCGAAACAGTTGAAGATAGGTATATGACATTATACATGAAATATTTCTAGAATTTTTCGCAGAATCGAAAAGTGTCATAATATACAGGGGCTACCATTTAAAAAAATAAAGTTGATAACCGTACAGCTGTTCTTGGAACACCCTGTATAACAAAATTAATGTGAAAAAATCTAAGGCAAAATAGCTATTTACCTAACAAGTGCGGAAAATTAATTGCATCACCGAACGACGCGTAGCGGAGTTCGGTTATGCGGCAGCCGCGTGCGGAAAAATATTTTTTCTACGAGCGTGCGGAAAAGTGCACTTTTCCGCACGCATTTTAGTTAAGAAAGTTTCACTTTTCCGCACTAGTGCGGAAAAGTGACAGATGTCATTTTTTAAATTATGAGCTGACAGACTTACAGAAATATCAGCATTGAGAATTATTGAAAAACTGTGCCCAGTGAAAAATCAGGAATCTCTTATGACTGTGAGTACAAAAATAAATAGTCATTAAACCTTATTCTGGTTGAAATAAATGAAAATATTTATATTTTGCTAACAAACAAGGTTACTGCGGAACCAAAACAAACGTTTTTTTTTTTTTGTGTGGTTCTGAGGTGCAAAGCCTACTATATCAACAATAGTCTAAAAATTAAATCGGTATTATGGCTACGGAGGCACTGAAAAGTAACAACAATTTGTTTGAAGTTCTGAAAGAAATAAAAGATCAAAACGCAAAAATTGCGCAACAAAACAGTTCCATCCAGTCGGACATAACTGAAATAAAATCAGAATTAGAGAAACAAAACATTAGCGTCTTAGAACTTCAACAAAAAATAACAGTTCTGGAAACTGAAAACGCTACATTAAAAGAAAAACTTGAACGAATCGAACAAGAGGGAAAGAAGAATAATATCATACTATTTGGTTTACAAGAAGAAGAAAACGACCAACAGAACTTGAGAAAAAATATAATTAAATTCTGCGTAGACCGACTGGAGGTCAGCATTGCCGAAGAAGATTTAAACGACGTTTACCGTCTCGGAAAGCCAAACTCGAGATCTAGAGGAGTTTTAATCAAGCTTGTACGAGCTCATATCAAGCAGGAAATTTTGAAAAACGCACGAAAATTAAAGAATACGGGCTTTTCATTGACAAACGATTTGATACCAGAGTTGAGACAACAGCAAAAAATATTAGTAAAACACCTAAAGGAAGCAAAATCAAAAAACTACAGTGCAAAAATAGTTAAAAACAAACTAGTTGTAAATGGTGAGGAGTACACTATTGAGCAATTAGAGAACTCCAGCCAAAGCGGTGAAAAACCACAGCCTAAACTAAACCAAACGCTCAGACCCACAAGTGAACCAACTTCTCCAGAGGTTTTTGAATTTCCAGAAGAAATTATAAATGTTCCACAACAACCGCCATTTGCAGGAACCAGGAATAGAACTAACTCTATCAAAAATAAACAGTCAGAATTACCAAAGCTTCCGCCCTAAAAAAAAACAAAAAATAAATAGAATAGTATTGTCTGTGTTTTGTATGTATGTAATTAATTAAAAGACACATTGTTGTTAATAAAAATTGTATGTAAGGCTTTTCTAGATTTTTAAGTATTGTGTATTTTTTCTTTGTTTTATGTAAGCATCAAACTATATGGATCCATTTACTAGAAACTTTCGGGTAGAAACCGTAATACCAAATGTAATAAATAACTTGAATGTTTTTAACCAAATCGATAGTAAAAACTGTTTTAAAATCTTGCACTTAAACATATGTGGAATCAATTCAAATTTTGCTAATTTTTTGTGTTTTCTAGAACAAATCAAAGAACATTTCGAAATTCTTGTATTGACAGAAACTCATACTATTTCTGATTTACAGGTTTTTAATTTAAATGGATATTATACTATTTACAATGAAGGAACATTTAACAAGTGTGATGGGATTGTGGTGTTTGTCCGGCAAAACATACCATATACATACTCTTGCAAATTTATTGGACAAGTGAAATGCTTGGAAATATTAGTCGGTGAGCAACCAAATAATTTTTTATTAACTTGCATATACAAGTCACCAGTTATTCAGGAAAACGTTTTTGTTGAAAATTTGGCTGCTTATCTGAACATAAATAAACATATAAAGAGACACATTGTTACAGGCGATATAAACTTAGATTTACTTAAAGAGAACAAAGGCTACATAGAGGACTATAAAAGTATTTTAGCGGTTTACGGATTTACGCCTTATATATCTAAGCGCTATACAAGACCTAAGACAAAAACCTGCCTTGACCACTTTTTTGTTAAGGACGGAAATGTGGACAGTTTTAAGAATCCAAAATCTTACATAGTAAATTACAAAATAACTGATCACTGTCCAATTGTATTAACTTTTGAAAATAAAATTACCGCACCTATACAGATTGAGAACGAATACACAAAAAGTTACATAAACAACAAAAAATTAAAAATTGACTTGCAAGGAGAAACATGGTTCAGCGTCTATCATACACAAGACTTAAATCTGGCAGTTGCAAATTTTGTTTCCACTCTTAAATCATATATCTTAAAAAATACACAAATAATAAAATGTACACGCAGAAAAAATGGTAAAAATAAATGGATAACCAACAAGTTACTTAAATTAATAAATAAAAAAAATGATATCTACAAACAGTGTCTGAAAAACCCAGACAATCCTCAAATTAAAAATAGTTATAAAATTTGTAAAAATCAATTGCAAAAAGCAGTCAAAGACGCAAAAAAATGTTATGCACAAAGACAAATTTCAAAAAACCAGAATAAATCACAAGCATTATGGAATTGTGTCAATAATATCTGCAATAAATCGCAACAAAAACAAAAATAGAGAAAATTGAATTCTCAAATGCGCAGACAATTACTAATAAAGTTGATATAGCCAACAACTTGAACACATTTTTCTCTGAAGTTGGAAATAACTTAGCAAGCCAAATAAATGTGCCAACTACCAAGGTTGAAAACTGCAAGCGAAATGCAAAAGGTCTATATTTTTTAAAAGAAACTTCTGAGCAAGAAATTAAGAAAATAATACATGGTCTTAAACTAGGAAAATCTCCCGGTCCAGACAAGATTCGATCTGAGACTCTAAAAGAAATATCTGATGAAATATCACCCGTTTTGGCGTTTTTGGTTAATTTAAGCCTTCATGTCGGTAGTTTTCCTGAAGCTCTAAAACTCGGAGAAAAAAGGCCATTATTTAAAAGTGGATCGAAGTCAAATATAAATAATTATAGACCAATATCACTGATTTCAAACATATCAAAAATATTCGAAAAGGTTATAAAAAGCCGCATTGTACACTTTTCAGAAAAACACAAAATATTATCAGACAAGCAGTTTGGTTTTAGAGCGGGAAAATCAACCGAAGATGCCATCATAAATTTAACATCACAAATTTATAAAGCTTTGGATGGAAGGGTGCCATCCTTGTGTGTTTTTGTCGACCTGAAAAAAGCATTCGATACTGTTTGTCATGCTAATTTGTTGAAAAAGCTTGAGAAAATAGGAATAAGAGGCAGCGCGTTCAATTTACTTCAAAGTTATTTAAAAAATAGAAAACAATATGTTAGTGTTGATGGGGTAAGTAGTGGTCTTAGGGCTGTGACTTGTGGAGTGCCACAGGGGACAGTTTTGGGACCTTTCTTATTTACTGTTTACATTGATAATTTGTTAAAAGTGAATTGTCAAGGCCATGTTATAAGTTTCGCCGATGACACTGTCATTTTTTATTCTGAAAAAACATGGAATGGATTAAAAAGTAAAGCACAAATGGATCTGGATGTTATCTTCGACTGGTTTCGAGGTAATAAATTGACATTGAATCAATCAAAAACAAATTTTATGCTTTTCTCTTCATATACAAATAACTTACCAAACTTTCAGTTGTTGAACACAGAGCAAAATGTAACGGTCTCTAGAGTAGACCACACTAAATATCTCGGAGTAATATTTGATGAGCATTTAAGATGGAATAAACAAATTCAATACATAATATCCAAAATACGGTATTTGGTGACGAGATTCTCACATCTGAAATCTTATTTACACACAGAACAACTTAAAATTGTTTATTATGCGTTGGTCCAATCGCAACTGACTTACGGAATTGCTGGTTGGGGCAGCGTAAGAGACTGTTACCTCAAAAACCTAGAAGTAATCCAAAAATGGATTCTAAAAATTATTTTCGGAAAAAACAAAACATATTCTACTAGCCAATTATTCAGTGAGGCGAAGGTTTTTGATGTGAGACAGCTTTATTTCATCAGGGTATTGATGCTAGTAAATAAACAAAAATTAACTTTACGTGCAGTTCCACACCACATTAACACCAGATTTAGAAACGATTGTAAGACAGTTCCTTTAAGTAAAAAAGAAATAGGGCATAAAACAATGGACTATTTAGCACCAAAGTTCTTTAATTATTTGCCAAATTATTCAAAAGAAGCTATCCATAAAACATCTTTCAAAACACAATGGGCTCTTTCACTAATTTTTGAAATTGGCATATTTGGATAAAGCAACTAAAAACAGAATTTTCTGTATTTTTACTTTTGAAAAATTCAAGGTCCTTCTTGAGAAAACAGAAAACAAAGAAATACCTCCAAATAAAAACCCAGAATTTATTTCTATGACGTCGCAGCTCGCAATTTGACCGTGTTGCCACTAATTGTCAACATTGAAAATTTGTAATAGATTTAATTCTGAAATGTTGGCAAAATCTCATGAAAAGTAGTTAAATTAATTAGTTATAGATTCAAGATTTTATAACATTTTTTTTTTAAATTATGCTTAAATACAATTTAATGCAATTTTTTATGTTTAGTTTTATTTATTTATTTTACGCTGCACTACATTTAGTCACAACCGACAACAGAGCATTCGAACCTTTACGTATCTTTACAGAGCGCAAACACAGCCGAGCACTTCCTCCTTGCAACGACATAAGCGAAATGAAGAATATTTATGTGACGTCGGCAAATCGGCGCGTTTTAAAATAGTTTGAATTTAGGCACTTTTGATTGCCTATGAAAAACTTATTGAACCTTGTAGAACATTTTTTTTTTGGTATATATGCCTAAAATAGTCCCTCCTTTGAGATTTTATACTTAAATTACGTATTTAAATTTTAGTGAAAGAGCCCATTACAAAAATGGCTTCTTGCATCTGATAGGGCCAGTATAGGGAATTTTATATGATTTTCTGTACTGGGTGACGATGGAGGCGCGTGGCCCCTTGGAAGGGAGTGTTTGTTGGCAGGATTCTGTGCGTGTGCTTGTGGTGTAGAAGGTAAAATTTAATTTATTAAAAAATATAAAATATAAAACTCAATCAATAATTGATATTTTTTGCACCATTGGCATATGTGGGGGATTTGTTGGGGGGCATGCACTTTTGGTGGGCGATGCGTTTGTTTTTTTGTCGCACAGTACCTATATAAATAAAAATTGTATAACATAGTAAAATTGTTTATTGTACCTACTTATGAAAATGCATCAATATAACAAACTAGCTGACCCGGCGAACTTCGTACCGCCTCTGAATTTTTAAATATACCTATTAAATGTTGTGTTAACGTATCTATTTGCTGAATTAAATTCAGTTTTTTTCGATGGTGAATTCGGCTTTGGTTGAAGAAAATTAATGTTTACTCTCTGGATCGAAGTCACCTAAAATTAAAATTTTACATCATCCTTTTTTAGGCAGCTTGTGGGCATTATTCTTGTAAAGTGTACCACCAAATAAATAAACTCAGGCACAGGAATGTTCAAAGAATGTAAAGAAAAGAAAAAAAAATCTCTGGCGCAGGCCTGTTTCACTCTATCTGCACTGCACTACTCCATCTGTTCTACTGTATCTGCACTACTCTATCTGATCTACTCTTTCTGCACCACTCTATCAGATCGGAATAGTGGAATAGTTCTGTTCGAAATAGCTCCAGTTCCTGAGCAGCATTGTTCTACTCTATCTGCAATGCCGAGCTTCGTTCCAGGTATCAGAGATGGCGCGGTATACAAAATACAAAATAAACTTGGTATCGGTTATAAGAGATGGTGCCGTATGCGGGCTTAGTAAATTTTTTCCATAAATAAATGAAATAAGTAATGAAATGACCACATTAATGACATAACAACATGCTGGTACTGTCAACGCTGAAAAAAGTTTCAATTTGACAGCAAAATCCCCAATAACAAAATGATCCTCCATTTATTGAATAATTCATTTATCACAAAAAATGTGATAAATGAAGAACCGCTCGACCGATTTTGTGCAAACTTCACATAAACCATCTAATAAATAGTCCGAACAAAGCCTAAATATTTGGTTTGGCTAGGTGAGCCCGTTCTTGAGTTATAAAATTACAACGAAAAGTGGCATTCATTTTTATATATATAGATAAGTACCAAACTCAAATTGTGACCCATAAACCCAAAATATGACTTTATTCATGATAGTGA